TTTCCCTGGTCCCCAGACTATATTAATTTAAGTGTGCCACTAGATTAGCATCTAGGTCCCACTCGTTTACTGTTGAAATAGCTAAATGCAACCTCCATTTCTACTCCAAGATATTCTTTTCTCATACTTCATCTTTCATCCTTTCCTCAATCCTCCTTTTACTCAGTTTTTTCTCTCACCTTTACTCCCTGTAACCTCTTATGTACTAGTGACATTCCTGCTTTGCTTGGGTTAAAAATAAAAAAAAAAAGAAATATCTGTTAGGCCATATTGTTGTGAACTGATGTCACATGTTACTGCTCTTTTTCTTTACTTTGTCTGGCCTGGTGACTTTGCTTATATATTCTTCAAAGGGATCACAAAGCCTGTTTTTTTTATTGTTGGCAAGAATGCAGCCCATTGGTTAAAAAAGGTTAAATATTTATTTTCAATGTACTAATTTATTAACCAGAAAGATACACGGGTCATTTTACTCAGAATCCATTTTTCTCTCATTTGTTTTTTGACTGTTTTGGTGTTCATTTCCATTTTCGCTCCACAAATTTTTATAAAATTATAATTAAAAAATGAATAATTATAATCCGAAGTACTTAGTAACTTAAACCTAAAACACTAACCATCAATTAAAGTTACACCACTACTAACCATGGGTATATCATACCCAATTTTGAAAATATCAAAAAAAGTATTAAATATAAATCTTTATTTGAAATATTTTACATGCAGGCACTTCAAACTTTGTACTTTGAGTTAACATTAATAGGAACTGAAAAACATATTATTAGGTAAGAAAATCAGGTACTGAAAATTGTAATTAAAAATAGGAAAATTTATGCTGGGTACTATATACCCATGGTTAGTGTTCTAGGGTTAAAAAAGAATTTTGAAAAAAATGATTATTTCTAGTCACGTTGCCCTTTGCACAACTTCAGTGAAATATTTTTAGACAACAATTTCCATTATATTGAGTTTCCCAACTTCACAAATTTGTTTTTCATTTATTATTGCAGAGTTATGGACTTGTTTTGAAATTTATGTTGTGGAGAGTTTGTTAGCAATGGGGTGTTTGGTAAATATTTAGCTATCTTATAGATTCAATCATCAGTCGATAAGCTGACTCAGCTTTTGTTTGATTGGAATTAACCCAGAATGGTCAGTTGAGGAATGTGGAGATGATCATTTAGACAATGAACAACAGTTGCGAGAGTTGGTGGGTGGTGGAGGAAATTGGTGAAGTGAATCAGTTGAAGAGAAAAGGGAAGTGAAGAAATCCAAAGAAATTTATTTGGCAGAAATAATATTTTGAATGGTCAAGATAAAAAGATTTTTGATGAGGGATTAAAAAAATTCAGACAGAGAGACTAAGAAAGAAAATAGAGAAAGAAAAAGATGAAACAAGAGACAGTTACAGAGAGAGAGAGAGAGAGAGAGAGAGAGAGAATGTTGGAACAAGAGATTGTCACAGAGAGAGAGAGACCAAGAGAAAAAAGTAAAGAAAGAAAAAGATGGGACAAGAAACTGTTACAGAGAGTGAGAGAAAGAGAGAGAGAGAGAGAGAGACATGGACAGAGATCAAGAGAGAAAAGTAGAGAAAGAAAAAATGGGACAAGATACTGTTACAGAGAGAAAGAGAGTGAGAGAGGGAGATACACAGATAAAAACCAAGAGAGAATGGGGGAGAAAGAAAAAGATGGAACAAGAGACTATGACAGAGAAAGAGAGAGAGACCAAGAGAGAATAAAGAAAAAGATGGGGTAAGAAATTGTTACAAAGAGTGAGAGAGAGAGAGAGAGAGAGAGAGAGAGAGAGAGAGAGAGACAGACAGAATCCAAGAGAGAAAAGTAGAGAAAGAAAAAGATGGGGCAAGAGACTGTTACAGAGAGAGTGAGAGAGAGAGAGAGAGAGAGAGAGAAATAGTGTTACATACAGAGTGAGAGGGAGAAAGTGAGAGACAAAAAATGTAGAGAAAGAAAAATATGGAATAAGAGACTTTTACAGAGAGAGAGAGAGAGAGAGAGAGAGAGAGACCAAGAGAAAAATGTAAAGAAAGAAAAGGATGGGACAAGAAACTGTTACAGAGAGTGAGAGAGAGAGAGACAGAGACCAAGAGAGAAAAGTAGAGAAAGAAAAAAAAACACAGCAATAGACTGTTACAGAGAGAAAGAGAGACAGACAGACAGACAGAAACCAAGAGAGAAATGTAGGGAAAGAAAAAAATGGGACAAAACACTGATACAGAGAGAGTGAGAGAAAGAGAGAATAAGTGTTACATAAAGAGTGGGAGAGAGAAATTGACAGAGACTAAGAAAGAAAAGTAGAAAAAGAAAAACATGGAACAAGAGACTGTTACAGAGAGAGAAAGAGACCAAGAGAGAAAAGTCGAAAAAGGGAAAGATGGGACAAGAATTTGTTAGAGAGAGAGACAGACAAACAGACAGACAGAAATCAAGAGAGAAAACTAGAGAGAAAAAAAATGGGGCGAGTGAGTGTTAGAAAAAGAGAGTGAGAGAGAGATAGACAGAAGTCTTAGAGTGAAAAGTAGAGTAAGAAAAAGATGGGACAAGAGACTGTTACAGAGAGAGTGACGGAGAGAGAGAGAGAGAAATATTGTTACATAGAGAAAGAGAGAGGGAGAGACAGATAGATAGATAGATAGATAGATAGATAGATAGATAGACAAAGCCCAATAGGGAAAAGAAAGGAAAAAACTGAACAAGAGTGAGAGAGAGATGAAGAGAGAGAGAGAGAGCATAAAAGGCAGATGAAACAATTGATTCAGGACAGAGATACAAGTCCTGAAAGGAAAATATTTGAATAAACTGTGACAGAGAGAGAGACCAAAGACAAAAGTTGAGAAAGAAAGAAAGAACAAGAGAAGAGAGAGAGAGAGAGAGAGAGAGAGAGATTGTCATAGAGAGAAAAGTAGAGTAGGAACAAAAAAATGAAGTAGAGTAATGAGAAAAAGGAAGGAAGTAAAAGAGAAGGTGAAAGGGAAACGACAAACGTTGAAAGAAAAGCCGTGACATTAAATAAAGAAAGCAGAATTTGGAAACAAAGAAAAACAAAACAAGTAAACGACAGGACTAAACATCATAATTTGATCTAAAAGTCATGTTAGAGAACCGTTTTTCATCTTGCATGGCTGATGCTAACCACCAGGAAGAAACTCATTGCACCTTCTCAGTTTCACATTTACCATTGATATGAAGTGGAATGATTATATTGAATCAACTGCAAGGTTTGCTTTTAGGAAAGTTGGTTCACTGTATTCTGCTAGATAATTTTTCTTGCCAGAATCCATCTTGCATGTGAATTGAATATTGCTGCCACGACAGGTCTGGTGCTCCTGCTGTCTATCTCTAGATTCTTGATAAAATCCAAAAGAAGGGTCTGTAATGTTATTGTCCTTGACCTGGCATCTTGGCTTCAGTCACTTTCTCACCACTGTAATGTAGCTTCCCTGAGCCTTTAATATAAATATTTTTATGGCAATTTTTCTATTGAGTTTTCCTCTTTGATACCTCAGCCTCATAAATTTAAGTGCAGTATTAGACCAGCAACAACGTCTCATCTCATCATTTTACTGTTGAAATTGCTAAATATAACCATAAGTTCTATTCTAATATTTTCTTTTCTCAAACTTCTCATTTGTGGAAATCTCTTCTGGCTTCATGCTTTCCTCTCAATTATAATCTTCAAATATTTAAACGCAACATCAATCGCCATCTTCTGTTTTTCTGAATCATGTTCATTTATTATTCTTCCTCCTCTATAAAGTGTTCTTATTTTCTTTCTTTCTCAATAGCCACCTTGCATCTTAGGGGCTTTATTGCCTTGCTTGGTGTGAAATGATGAAAAAAAAATATTGCACATTTAGATTATCATTTATTCAAGTCACTACAAACCTCTTTGAATAAAAAAAGCTTCAGTTCCCTAGAAGACTACAAAAGGTACCTAGATCAATCCTTTACTGAGAAAGATAAAATTTCTGAGAGGATAAAATTACGAAATGGACTGAAAAATGGCCGACTGTGTCACTATGATCTGAAAATGCATGAGGGTGAGAGATTTTATCAATATTTTAGGGTTTTAGGGCCAGCGGATGTGGTCTTTAAAGTCGGGCCCTACTTGTGTACCAGAATGATATGAAGGATGTTTTGTCAAACTCAAAGATATAATGGGTTGCTTGAAAAGAGAGGAAATATCTTGGTTTTCTCTACTCTCCAAGGTTCATGATAAGCATTAATATATCTGTGATCCAATACCACCTTAATGAGGTGTAAGGAAGGACTAGAAGGATCTTAAAGAGAGGAATTGTGTTTGTTAGTTTTGTTGTCAATTCTCAAGAACAAAGAAAATGTGTAAATTCAATTTCATCATATGTTTAGGTTTTATTACAATTCTAATCTTCAATTTTTAAAGCAATAAACATTGCCAAGGAGTGAAGGTAGTTAAAATAATAGCAGTGTCAAGGGAAAAACTGTTCTTTTGACACTTCATTTTTTGCAGGCATGAAGGTCCAAGATTGCCAAAAAGAATATGTTTGTATATGTACAGGTGTGCATGTATATACGTGTGTACCATATCACTTCAGGATGTATGTTATAATGGCTCTCTACAATCTTCCATGTCTTTAGATCCTTTGCATTTTCTGTGATTATTCCTTACTTTCTCAAACTTGTCAAATCTTTTACCAGCTATTTCCTTCTTTTTCTCTTGTCTTTCCTGTAGCCTGTAAGTGCTAAATTCTCCAAGCTTTCTTTTCTCTTTTGCTTTTCATCCCAAACATTTCAGCTGTTTATCTCGAATTGTTTGCAGCTGTTACTTTGCAGTACATATTCTTCAAGCATCCTCATTTGTCATATGAACTGTCCATGGAATTCTAAACATTGTGTTGGCAGAATCATATCTTGGTTTCTTCAAGTCTTTTCTTTATTTGTGACAAAAATTGTCCAGCATTTACTGCCGCATGAGTGATTAGATCTTACACCTTTTACTTTATGTTATTTGTTGATCTCATATCTGATAAGGTAATTTAATTTATTGCCCCTCTTATCTTCAAAAATCCATTTTTTTCATTCTGATCTGAAGTAAATGAGATGAATAGATGTTGGCAAAACATCATTTATAAGCTTTTCTAGTTTGTCTAATCATTTTCAAACACACATAAACCCCCATACTCAGACACACATACACCGACACCTAAAACATACATATAGAAATTGAAAATCAAATTTAGATGAGATATGGAAAAGAATCTGACAAGATGATGAAATAAAATAAAGAACAAAGTAGATAACAAATCTCATTTTAACATGTTTCACTTTAGTATCTGTCTATATTTCTGAGATGAGGTATTATGTACATTATTTACATTATTCAGACTATTGTCCTCATCTTTGTTGCCATATTTATCCGATCCTTCAGTATCTGTCTATATTTCTGAGATGAGGTATTATGTATTTACATTATTTATTGTCCCTCATTATTCAGACTATTGTCCTCATCTTTGTTGCCATATTTATCCGATCCTTCAGTATCTGTCTATATTTCTGAGATGAGGTATTATGTACATTATTTACATTATTCGGACTATTGTCCTCATCTTTGTCGCCATATTTATCTGATCCTTCAGTATCTGTCTATATTTCTGAGATGAGGTATTATGTACATTATTTACATTATTCGGACTATTGTCCTCATCTTAGTCGCCATATTTATCCGATCCTTCAGTATCTGTCTATATTTCTGAGATGAGGCATTATGTACATTATTTACATTATTCGGACTATTGTCCTCATCTTTGTCGCCATATTTCTTACAACGTTTCACCCCGTTGTACGCTTCGGCCTTCTTCAGGTGGTTGGAATGTCAAACTGAACCCTTTATTTTTCTCACTGGAGTAGACGGTTCTAGTTCAACGTGACATGTTTAATGGATGTCAGTTATCAGTTATCTCCTGTTAATTTCCCTCTGAAAGTTCTCCACTGCCTTAACCGGGTATTGAACTCGCACTCTTTGGGTCTTGTCACTGGATCTAACCAATGCTTTTATACACTGTGCCATGTGTCCTCAAGGACTCAGTGGAGAATTTTCAGAGGGAAATTAACCACCTGATAACTAACAACGTACATCCGTTAAAACATAACATGTAACAGAACAGTCTACCCCAGTGAGCAAAATAAGGGTTAAGTTCAACATTCCAACCACCTGAAGAAAACCGGGAGCATCCCACGCTCCTTTTCGTTGTAATAAATATGGTGACAAAGATGGGGACAATAGTCTGAATAATGTAAATAATGTTTCTGTTATGATGTTGATTTGGGGTTAGTAGAGACAAACGGCAAATAACACTTAACAATAAAAAGGGTTTTAATAGGTTGGTGAAAAGGTACAGAAATCGCGTGAGTAGTCAATAACTAGCTCAGCTAAGAACTTCTCTGTCTATCTGTCTCCCCCATGTCAACTGACATGCCACTATTTAAAGTCTTTGTTCACAGACGCAGACAAGTTCATCTTCAAGAGGGGTAGTAGGTTTCCGACACAACAGTTTCACTTTTATTAACGCTTCGTCAGAGATGAAGAATAGAAATGAAAAAAGCATAGATACAGAGTACTGGAATGTTATGATTTTTGGTAGTTCTCAATGGTCGGACACGTCATATGTATAAATGTAATAGATAATATATAAATATGTGTGAGGAATATATAGGATGTTAAAGTGTGTGACAGTGTAAGAGTATATAAGTAAAGAAATGCTTGTGTATGTAGGACAGTAATGTTAATTCATTTACATGTTTATGTGAGGGAAGTCTACAAATGTCACCCTTGTATATATATATATATATATATAAATATCACCCTTGTATATATATATATATATATATATATATATATATATATATATATAAATACTACCCTTGTATATATATATATATATATAAATATCACCCTTTTTTATATATATATATATATATATATATATATATATATATATATATATATATATATATATATATATATATATATATATAAATATATATATATATATATATATATATATATATATATATATATTAAATATACACATACATATGCAATCATATATATAAAATATATAAATATATATACATACATACATACATATATATATGTATAAAAATAATTCAAGAGGATAGAATCCAGGTAGAACTCAATGTCCAGGACAGAGTAAGGATATAATAAAAACCTTAAACACTAATATTCCATGGTCATCATTTATTCCATTGATAGGATCGTATTTACTTTCCAATGGAATAAATTATGACCATGAAATATTAATGTGTTTAAGACTTTTATTATATTTTTATTATATATATATATATATATATATATATATATATATATATATATATATATATTTTTTTTGGATTGATGTGAGTTTCTGACCCTGGGTTTCACGCTTTTTGTGATTGTCAGACAAACTGATTAATTTTTAAAATTTTGGATTTATGTAGGGTTGCGTGTATTGGTGTTTTTATTGAAGTGGGAGGAAAAATTGTTGTGACGCCACTCATACTAATGCAAACATACATACACAGCCGTACATTCATTGAGGTACGCAGACACACATACACATGTGCTTGCCCACTGGAGCTAACACAAACATAAACATATATGAACAGTATGGGACTTGACATATACATGTATACGTGTGCTGTTGGGTACATATATATGCATTTGATTGCCGAATTCAATGATGGATTGTGTAGCAAATAATTTTCCTGAACGTAGTGATGTCAACACGCAGACTGTTTTTTTTCCACTGAATAATATTACCTTGCATGCACATATATATATGTATGATGGGTTCTGTGTAAAACTATGATAGGTAAAAATTGCTATTATTTTTAATTTCTTAAGGCTGTTTTGTTATTATTTTAAAGCCGTTTACTTGCTTGTTTTTGGTGAATTGCACATAACAAAACAGCTTTAAAAAATTAAAAATAATAGCAATTTTTACCTCTCATAGTTTTACACAGAACCCATCATTTTTTTGTTTTGTCTTTTTGGGTACATAATTTGTTTATTTTAAGCTGTAATTTATTCCACCTACCGGCCTATTAAAAAACAAAATCCATTAAATCTTTAGAAATTGCTTTGTTTACAATTCAGATACAAGACTGAGTTGTTATGGCTTTCAATAAAATATTAACAAGTAAAGTGTAATTTCATGGCAGACAGAATTTTGCTTGATTTTGAAGCATTTCAACTGCATTTCATTGCCGAGCAGTCGAAGCACAATGGATAAATGGCGCTTTTTCTTGCAAAGAAGGATGCAGGTTCAAATCCTGCCAGAGGTTGCATTTTCTTTAATAAGTTTTCTTCAGTGTGCAAGCTGGTGGAAAAAATAAAATGCTGTTTAAAATAAACGGAACATCTACTCAAATATGGGTAGCCACTAAAAACAATATTTGAAGTGATAAATATATATATAACCAGTATCAGCAGCCTAATATGTAAATTTTATCTGAAATTTTTAAAATGAAATATTTTGTCTATGGGATTGATATTCATCCCTTAATTAGCATCAGAGATCACGCTTAAAAATAAATCTTCCATGTGTCAATCATGGCTCTTCACAATTTCTTTTCCTTTGTAGCTCTTAGCTATGATTGTGATTTTGCTATCCCTCCCACTGCATCTTCCATCACTATTTTCACAGACTACTTACTCACTCTTTCATCTTGCCATCAATAATATCCTGTGAGTGTTAAATTCTTCAAGCCCTCTTTCTTTATTATGTGTCACAGGATTTTCAGCTGTTTCTTTTTGGTTCTAAGTGTCCATTTTGTTCTCATCGACCTTAAAACTTCCCCATTTGTTCACATGCTTCAGCCATGGTATTCTCAACATCCTTCTTACTGTTGCTTCAAGTTTCAGCACAAAGAAAACAAATCTTTATTGAACAAGATTCTCTCAGGTGATGAAGCATGAATTTATTATGAGAATATAAAAACAAGAGTCATCATAACCTAAAAAAAAAATACCTACATGCATGTTTCAATGGAATCCATTGGGAAAAAAAGTCCATCATTTCTGAATCAAAGGAAATTATTTTGTAAATCTCAATTTTTACAATGATGTTCATCCTGTACAAGCCACTTGAGGTAGAGGATTACAGAGTAAGTGGCACAGTTTATGCGGATATGTGGGAAAGATAGTGGTTAATCATGGGCATGAACAAGTTAAGATTGCAGTGATGTCAGGAAGTGTACTCTTAGAAGCTGGTTCCACAAAGTGTTGTTTGTTGGATGAAGTTGCTCAAGTGGAACTTAAATCTCACCAGGAGAATACGAAGGGAATTAAGAAATGAGCATAGCATGAAAGGTCTTAGTTGTGACGGTTAGAACTGATGGAACTAAAGCATGTAGTTCATCTGAACACTTTCCATGGAAACAGTAATAGAGCAGTGGGACACTTGTAACGTTTTGTCTGAGAGAAAGAGGTTCTAGGATGAAAAATAATTTGTCATTCACAAGAATGCGGAGATGCTTTTGGATTCTATCAATTAAAGACTGTTACTGATACTTGGACAATCTGTTGTTATGAAATGCTGCTGTGAGCAATTGGCTCATTTGAATGACATTGGAACAGAAAAAAAAAGTAAAGTTGCTTTATGACAACATCTATCCTTGTGTCCTAAAGGTGATGCAGCAGATAATTATGGAGCTGAATTCTTCCACAAAACCTTCTGCGAATCTGTTATTTTCAAACTGTCACTTACTTTGCTTCTTGTCTTACCAGTTCCAAGATATCAGAAACTTTCTTTCAGAATCTGAATTGTATTTTTATGATGAAAGTTCATATAAAGTCAGGAAAAATAGTTTGGTGACTGAATAATGAGGCCACAAATTTCTATCAGTAAAAGATTTTCTCAAATGTGCTGATAAATTTTACATCCACCTAATCTATCAATCTATCACAGTTTATTTATCACTCCACACTCTCTTGCTCTCTCTCTCTCTCTCTCTCTCTCTATATATATATATATATGTAGTTCATTTCTCCCTGCCTCTTTCTCTCTGTCTCAGTCTGTTCACATCTATCTAAGTCTGTTAATTTCTATCTATCTCTTAGTCTCGATTAATTCTTTTCTAATATCTATCTATCTATCTATCTATCTATCTATCTATCTATCTATCTATCTATCTATCAATTCTTTTATCACACATGCACTCTCTCTCTCTTTATCTATCTATCTGTCTATCTCTTAGCTTGTTAATTTCTATCAGTCTTGATCAATTCATTTCTCATTATCTATCTATCTATCTATCTATCTTGACCAGTTCGTTTCTCCCTGCCTCTTTCTTTCTCAGTCTGTTCATTTCTTTCTACTGATTTCTCAGTCTTGATCAGTTCATTTATCATTATCTATCTATCTATCTATCTATCTATCTATCAGTTCATTTCTCACACAGGCGCTCTCTCTCTTTATCTATCTATCTCTCTATCTATCGATCTCGAGTATTTCTTCCTTGTTCTTTCTCTCTATCTAAGTTAATTTCTATCTACCTATCTCTCATGTCTATCTATCCATTTATCTGTCTATTTATCTATATGTTCCTTTCTCATTCTCTCTCTTTTTTCTCTATCTTGATCAGTTCCCACTCATGTTTCTCTCTCTCTCTCTCTCTCTCTCTCTCTCCTTTCATCTTTCTATTACCTCTCTATTTTTGTTTATTTCTCTTTACCATTATTGTTTTCCCTACATGCACTTTTATCTGTTTTTATCCGTCTTTCGTTGTCTTTTCTCACTTTCGCTTTCTTTCTCTCCTTCTCTCTCTCTATTCCATCTTTTTTTTTTTACTGGTATAAGTGTAAATAATAACCTCATGAATCGTAGAATTACCAATTGTCCTTTAAATTCATGAATGAATGATGTCCATATTGTTGGAAAAAATTTAAATCAGTTGATATACCTGCTGATAACCAATGAAACATCAAATGTTGATGCCTACCATTTCAAACACCTGTTTAAGAACCCAAGTTAAGAAAATTTAAGACAGGTCAATACTGAATGGGTGATCATTAGAGAAAAGAGACTACAAAGGCATTTGAAACCTCAATCAATCCACACAATGTTCCTCTTCAGCTTTTCTTATCCTTCTTTCTCTCTAAAACCTTTCCGTCTTTTGCTTTCTTGAGCTGTTAAAACTTCCAATATACATGTTAAACTTCCAATATACATCATTTCACAATAAATGAAAGTTCTACAAATAGCTTTCTGTTTGCAAATTGTTAATCAATGCAGCTGAAAAGCCAAGACCTTTTTTAGAAACAGATTCAGACAAAAACGATTTGAGAGATCAATTAAAGTATAAGCATACTCCATAACAAACAACTGACAGACACTTGTCTGTTGATGAGCAGTTTAATTCTACATCTGATATTTTATCTTCTGACATAAGATGTATTATTTCTTTTTAAGTATTTTATGTCCCTTCAGGAGGTAGGCGATCATGGTTCTCCACACTCTTCTTTTCTTTATAACATGTAATTTGCCATAACTACTAGTGACGAACAATGAAGTGGTTTACCATTGTCTTCATCAGGGTTTTGAATACAAATTAGTCATTCTCTCTTCAGCACGTCAGCGATCATCATTCTCCACAGCCTCCTTTCCATTTAAAAATCTGTGAATTGCTATGACTTCTTGTGAAAGGTAGTTGAGTTGTTTTCTGCTGCCTTCTGCTGGGTTTTGAATTCCTCAGAATTACAGAAGAGTGATTTTTTTGCCGCCTTCTCCAGGGTTTTGAATCTAAAGTAATCTTTATCTGTTTGAGATGTAGGCGATCATGCCTCTCTACATTGACCTTTTCTTTATGATCCATGACATTTTGTAAAAGATGATGGAGAAGTTTCTCATTGTCATCTGCAGAGTTTTAACCTCAGAGTATTCTTTGTCTCTTTAGGATGTAGGTGATCATGGCTCTCCATTGATTCCTTTTCTTTATTATCTGTGAAGTATGATGACTTTTTGTGAAAGACGGGAACAGTTTTTCATTGACTTCTCAGTATGGAATTCAGTGTTTTCCTTGTGGATTTTTTCCACCCAGGACATAGGTGATCATGGCTCTTGACAGATTTCTCTTTTCTATTTCCTATGAATTTCCATGATATCTTGGGAAAGACTGTGGAATTATTTTTGGTTTGGTACAAGAGTTGTACCAAAGAGTGAGAATAAAATGCATGCATATTTATTATTAATAATATAAATTTTACCACTGTTATTTTTACATTGGGTACTGTTTTATTACCACCAGCACTCACTGAGCAACACACACACACACATATATATATATATATATATATATATATATATATATATATATAAAACAAAAACCATTGATTGTTAGAACCAGTGGACAACTTGCCAAAACCTAATATATCCAGATACAGTCTTGAATAAAAACGAAAATACTGAAAAAAAGAAAGAGAAAAAAGCCTAAAGGCTAAACTACATACTCTGTAAAGTGCTCAAAGCTTAGATTGCCTAGACCAACCAAAAAATGCTTAACGACATTAAATCCTATGAAAGGGTGGCTCTAGTTGTGTAATCTTCAGACAACTTTAAGAATGCGTGAATTTGGGCAGCAACCCTTCTTTTATGCAAGTTTCATTAAAAATGACTGACAAGGTGCTGTGGTTCATTTTTATATAATTTTTCATGTATAATATAATTTATGTATAAATTATATAAAAATTGTCTGAATGTATTATATATCCAAGAGCTTTCGGTTATACTTTTAGCCAGTATTAAGGATGAATTTTACTTTACTTTTAACAGAATATATGGATTATTTTATGTATGTATCTAGAATTATAGGAATGTTTTATTTTCCAAACATGGTCATCACGTTGTAACCGTGTTCATAGTTGATATAAGTGAGTGTTGACTTTTTTCTTTTTTATTAATAATGCTTCCATTATTTTTATCCTTTTTGTACATGTGCATGATGTTATTACATTTGAGTATGTTACAGACAGAGTTTGGTAAGTCTCCATGTCTATTTAAATGAGACCTAACTGAGCCATGGTCAGAGAGATGTAACGAGTGTCTTCTTGTTAAACAAGTTGTAGTATATCCAATATATTTATTTGCAAATTTGGATTGGTCAGAAACCCAGCTCCTTAAGGGTCATGTAAATTCGTAAATAATATTGTTTCTCTGTAATTTGGATCTTGCAGGTGAATTATTATTTTTGACGATGAGGGTAGCAGTTTAAATTTTTTTTTATAATAAATAATTAATTTAATGTTCTTGTTTTTGTCAACTGGAGTTGTGTATTTCTTTATGATGTTTCTAAGGGAAGATTTGTCTTGCTTATAGTTACTATACATTTGGTTTTTGTAGAAAATGTTTTTATTTTGAAATATTACATTTTATGTGATACAAGGCCAAACGGTGGTGGGGAAAGTTTGGTCATCACTGACTATCCTACACCTAGTTAATCTTATTCACGACCCATTCATTCATTACAATTTACTTATACACCACAAGAACTCATTCATCGTCATTCAATCCAACATATACCATAATACCGCATATTCATAGTGTTATGGTCCAGGTCCTTGTACCATGGTGGTGGTCCAAGGTAGAACCAATAAAGAAGAACTCGAACACAGGTATGGAATAACACAGATATATTACAAACAGGAATATATACAGAGAAGTAGAAAGTGTTTGTACGAACAATCAGGTTTAGTAGTAATTGTCTGAACGCGACTATGTTTCCAACTGCCTCTGACTCGACTGACTGACTCGCTCTGACTGACAGACTCCTGACGGACTCCTGATGGACTCCTGACGGACTTCACTCCAGACTTCAGACTGAACTCTCTGCTTCCTCTTGAGGCGCAGTATTTATTACGTATGGAATAGTCCATTATGTTATTATGGGTAAGGTCCCATAACACACATGGATCCTACTAAAAAAACCATAACATGAAAATATATACATTTTTTTTCTATAAAAATATATAAAATTATGGCATAAAATGCGGCGAGTAAGTGATGTACCCAATAAGGAAATTAAAATAGAAAAATAAGAAAGCCCATTGTATTCTGCCACTAAGTACAATCAAGAACTCATTCACTATAACAAGAGAATGCCGGGAGCAGACCGGGAACAACAATTACTCACATTTACTAGGTAAACAAAAAGGGAGGGGTTCAAAAGGCGACTAAAAAAGAAAATCAAGACTGGCCCCGTTCACACAAACTAAGCTCGCCGCTTTTACCCATCTTTCGTTGGAATCTGCCGATAACAAACGCTTTCTGTCAGTTTTGATCTTCCTCTTGAGAAGGAAGATAATCTGAAGCGGGCATGTTATCGTTTCAAACCCCCTATTGAATTTGTCATCGATGCTAACGGTGGATTCATTAAGAAGTTGTGTCAATAAATGTCTCAAGATCATGAATTTTTTTCAAAAAGATAATAATGATCTGAATCCGGAATTTTGTCGTTTCGCACCTCGTATTGATGCATTTAATCGTTGCTATCAGCGGTCACATTTAAATTGTTCAAGAAGAGTAACATCATTATTAATTATTAGATCATGTAGTGGAAATGGCGGTTATGTTGTTGATAGAAGTCAGACGTAGAAGAAACGCAAGTAAGGTTCAGATACTCCTACCCGCCGGGCCCAACTACATAAAAAGGTTGGACTTTGATTAAGTCCAAAGAAGAAGGCAAAGAAAGCAAACAAAACACAAGACCAATAATATATGTATATACAAATATATATTAATAACAAGTTACGATACATGGAAACAGTACAAAGGACGAAGTGTGTGTGAATATTCTGTATGTGCGTGCGTGTGTGAATATTCTGTATGTGCGTGCGTGTTTCCACGCTATCCCTTGTTAGCGCCTACATTTCGAGGTTGATAGCTGAAATCCTGAAGGAAAAAAGAGAAATTTACCTCAAGGTGTCGGTGCACAGGCCTGAAGGAAAAAGAGATAGAGGTGAAGAGTCAGCGGCTATTTATAGCCAGGGAAGAGAGACCCCTGGTGAAAGGGTTAACGGACTGAAGGAGGAGTTAACTCCGACAATCATCTTTGCCTATTTTGAAAAAATAGGCAAAGATGATCTGAATTGGTCCTGTTTTTGTTTCAGACATTGCATTTTTCATCGATGCTAACAGTGAATTTATTAAGATGTTGCGTCCATAAATGTCTCAAGATCATTAAAGCATTTTTTTCAAAGAAGATGAAAATGATCTGAGTCTGGCATTTTGTTGTTTTGCACCTCGTATTGACGCTGTAGCGGACCGTGAGGTTTACGTGTTGTTAAATTAGAAACACGTGCGTTTATTCCTGCTAGGAGAAGGTCCACTACAAGAACATGGCGGACTCAGAGATTGATTCCACCATAAAGAAGTGTAAAGAAAACCAACAAAACCGATATATATATATATATATATATATATATATATATATATTACAAAAATTTCGCTTGAGGATGAAACAGAGCTTGATACTTTAATTCAATTTAAGTCTAATAATTATATTGAAGTTTTCAACTCTTATTTTTGAAACATGAGAACTCTTATGCAGCGAAGGAATCATATTTTTAAAAATAATTATATATATATATATATATATATATATATATATATATATAAACAAGTATATGTATTAAACAACAAAAATTACAATGGACATAGACATTAACATTTGTGTTTGTGTGTGAACGTAAAGAGATTGTATTTTGGTGAATGTTTGTACGTACGTGTGTATAATGTTCATGGCGTCTTCCCATAAATGGGAAGACGTAATCATCTGCGAGAACTTACATTGTAGATGTTTTCGCTGAAAATGAAAAAATGAAAAAGAGAACGAGGCAAGAAATCGCCCAGTATTTATAGTGTAGGGAGACCGTCTCCTAGTGAACAATTTGGGCAATTAAGGAGGAGTTAACCCCGACAACGCAGTCATCGTTGCTATCGGCGAACTCCTTTAGATCTTTCAAGAAGGAATTTTTTCAAAATATGTAAAGATGTCTTCATTCGGGTATCGCCACTTTTCAGACCCATTTTTGAAACAGTTATTGATTGTAAAGTTGCATTTGTCAAGTATATCTCACAAGAAGAGTTTCAAGATTTTTAATTCTATTTTTTTTTTAAACGGGTAAAGATGGTGTCATTCAGGTATCTCACCATTTTAAACCTCTTTTTGAAGCAGTCGTCGATTATAGCGTTGCATTCGTCAAGTAGATCTGTCAAGAAGTCTCTCATGATTATTAATGCAATTTTTACAAAGCAAATGAAGATTATCTGATTTGGGTATGTCAATGTTTCAGACCACGTATTGAAGTCTTGCTTGACGCTAGTGGCAGATTCATGAATTAGTTGTGTCAAGATGAGTCTCGACATTATTAACAGCAACAGAATTCATCCTTGTCCCAGTGTGCAGAAAAATATTCGCTTCGTGGTTTCAACGTTGGGTAGATACCTGTCAAGCTGACGTCTGCCAAAGGTGAAAATGGAAAATTCGTGTTCTAATTTATAAACCGGGCACCAAGAAACAGGACCGTTATATGAATTATAATCTAACAAAGCAGGCAACGGATTTCACCTCCACTGAATAAGGGGAATACAACTTGTTGAAATATAAATTGTAGCACAAGGCCAAAGGGGAAATGGAGAAAGGCTGGTCGACATTTTCTATCCTAGACTTAGCTAATCTGATTCATGACCCATTCATTCATTACAGTTTGCTAATTCACCACAGAAAAGCCTCATCCATCACCATTCAATGCTGCATATACCACAATAGCACAAATTCACGGGAAACATAGTAAACCACGTGACATAAAATTTCAATATGTACAAATAGTTCAAATATCTCTTTTTACATATTTTTTATATATATTGTTCTAACCTAGGAAGGGTTACTGAATGAGGAATAACCAAAACGGAGGTTGGAAATGGTAATCTTTATAGCATCAACAAAATACAATACTCGCCAGCGGCGTGAAATAGGTAAACCACTGCTAGTGGTGGACTACTTAGCATATTACCTCCATTTACAATAATGTCTAACGTATTTATGAGGATTGGGACATACTCATTAGTGTTCATATGTACGGTAATGATATATATATATATATATATATATGTGTGTGTGTGTGTGTGTGTGTGTGTGTGTGTGTGTGTGTGTGTGTGTGTGTGTGTGCAAATGAAATGAGAGGGGAGGGGATAAACCCGGAAAACAAAGCTAAAATATAATAAAACTTTCAAACTAAACATAACAGATGTTAATAGGACCCAACCACCCAACAAAAATAAGTGGCCGTTGTATCAAATCAAGAAACACGCTCGTTAACGGGGAGGGAAAGATTTAAAAAAAAAAAACAACGGAATGAAAAAAAAGGCTAAGCTAGTCGAGATGAAAAACGGGATAAAAAACAAATTGGAGAGAAGGGGAATCTCAGACAATTGTCTAGCTACGCCTATCTCGAGGGAATCCTCCACGCCTACGCATGGGACAGACTATCCGTGAGAGTTTTCACCTTCTTAGACTTATCTAGGGCAAGTCGTTGGCTATATTCAGTGTTGAAAGACCGAATGCTATACTTAAGCCGCTCCCAATAACCGCCCCCACTAGTTCCTGCTACACTAATCGTCAGCTGTCGCTGGAAGTCTTGCCTGTCCAGATTGAACTTTCTGTGTCCAGCCATTCTAGGACTAGTGTCTAACGCCATCCGGGCACAGACAAGTCTATGGTTCGAATAGCCTAACCAGTGGAACGTGGGACAATCTAGTAGACCGACCCTTCTCACTAACATTCTGTTTAGGTAGCTGGCTACCCAGGTAGACGACATCCAATCCTCCATTAAGACTAAGCGTGACGAATCCACCATTGACGGCCCCAATCGACGGAAAAGGAGACATGTTTCTCCCGATCGTTGGGTGTATAAACTGCAACGATCCGAAATGAACGACTATTGACGGCAATATCGGCCACAATCAACCGCATCGACATGGACAAGGCCCACTTTCGCACCCAGGGTACGTTTAACCCGCAAGGAAGCAAAATCTGGCCTGCTGGTCCCCGTATGTTGAATAGACAACAAAGTCGCTAGACAGCACACAAGCATCATCATAGCAAACAGAATCTGTCTCCTGGATCACAGCCACATCTCCGCTGAACGACAAGAGATCACGAAGCAGGCGGGCAGCCTTACTCCGATCTTTGAAGTCATTCATGTTTAAACTGGTTAGCTTGATAGTCATGATTTAAGTTTAAATCTTTTAAACTGGATGGAAACAAGATTGTCCAAGACTACCAGTACCAATATCGAACGTAATTCGTCCGTCAACGTCCGTTGTGAATGTGAGTTTTAATGCCCTGTATAAGGAGAGATGGAGGAGACCGGGACCCCCCCCCTGCACACATTTTGCATATTTTCTTTAACTCCGGAGACTCTATCTGTGCCATCCGGAGCTTTGGGAAGGCTTCTTTTGCTCCTGCCAAGTGATCTCACACACTGCGATTCCACCCTCCCAGTATGACATCAATCACACCGGGGGCGTTCAGGAAGTTCCTGGGATCCTCCATAGACGGTATGTCAATGGAGGTACATTTAAACAAAGGCTTCAAGAGGACCTTCCGTTGATAGGAAAGTTGTCCCCTCAAGGGCATGCCTGTCTACCAGGCAAATTTTATCCTCCTTTGGGAAATATTTTTTTTGAGATGGGTTGAGGAAGGGAAAAGACGGAACCCTAGAAAAGGAAGAAGGGAGGCTACTTGCCTTTCCTGGCAGGTTTTTTTTCGGTTCTTACTGGCGAAGCAGGTACAGATTTGGTCTTGGCTTCTACCAGGGTCCCCTCTGTCTTACTTCGGCTAGGTTGGTTCTTTCTTCTTTTTTCGTCTTCCTCTTCTTCCCTCCCCACTTTTCCGAGAGGAGGGTCGAGATGGAGATATTTCCTTCACCTCCATGAATAAATCTAGCTCCGAATGTAGAAGAGCTTCTTGTTGCTGCTCAATTTGCAGTTGTATATCCGACAGCCGTTGCTGCTCCAGCTGCTCTTCCTGTTTCTGCAAAACCTGTTATTGTTTCTACTGCTTCGCACCCTGCTGCTGCTCTTTAGGAGGCGACTTCTGCCTCTGCCCCTTCGGTTGCTTCTGCTGCTGCTCCTATGGCTGCTGCTACTCCTTGCGCTGCTTCTGCTGTTTGTTTGGAGATACAGCCCCTGTTGGTGTGATATTCTGCTGGAAAGGGGGGAGAGTAGTCAACTTTCCCCCCTCCTTACGACCTCTGCCCACTCGCTGAAGCCACTGGAGGTCTGGCCGGACCTTTCCGCCACCGCTGCTTCTTTGAGTGCTGCTAATTTGGGCGTTACTGGTGCTGCTGGAGTTGCTGGTTTCGGTACCGGGTTCTTCCCGGGGCCCCCCTTTGACAAGTGCCCCGCTGCACCACAGGACCAGCAGTTGGGAGGTGACTCTCTGTTGTAGAGTAGTTTTCACAGTGGAGGCTTGTATTTCAATAAGTCGTCCTAAATTAGGTCCGACGTACAAAACGTTAGGAACTTGAAAATAAGAGTTAATGACGCAGCAATCTAGTTGTGATGGTTGGTACTTCAATGTCCGATATCGTCTGACTCGCTCAACACCACTGAGCCCAACTGGCGACCGCTACTACTATTACTACTTATTATCTGTGGAAGAGTCCACTACAATAGAATAGGTAATATGGCATAACACTCTCCACAATCACAAGAATGCTGCGGCCGCCACAAAATAGTGTGTCGGAGATGTCCATAAAGTTCTTTCTGGACACTGTTATTTGCAACACGTAGTCGCCTGTCGCAATATCCGTTTTTCCAGCTGCAGCTGATACATCCTCGACATCACCAAATTTGGAGAAGACGACCCCCACCCCCAGTCGCTCCTCTGTGATATCTATGGGTACACCGTGTAGCGTCACCCTGGTCTTCCGGGTGTCCATGTATTCGGTTTGCAGTCATACTGACTTGCTTGTTAGTACGATGCCTACTAAACTTTTGGCATCTTCTTCACATGCCAGAAGGATGTCCATTGGTGAATGGAGCATACTTCTCCTGCAAGGCAACGTACTCTTCCGATGTCTTTTTCTTGGGTCTATTAGAGGCCTAGACTGAAAGCGCGGGTAGCGCCGATGCTGACTGACTACTGTGGGGGGAGACTCCGCCATATTGGCGGGATTCCTACGTCAGCAGACAACAAATATTGAACAAATAGTTCTTTATCAAATATAACGAGTCACAGATAAAATTAAATGCTTACTTATTTTGAGCATATTCCGATAAACATTTCTGCAAAAAAGTCATAAAATCACAACATACACACTGAAATATTTGGTGGAGAAAAACAATCTTCGATTCAATTGTTTAAAGCTACAAAGGATGACGTTGATGATTCTGTGACGTTTGCTGGTGACGTCAATCGGGAATACGAAAAATTCAAACAAAATTCCCTTACATAGGAAAAGTTGAAGTGTGTGATTATTGTACTAGCCCGGAAGATCTCTGAATAATAGTTTATTATTAACAATTTGATATTTTTCAGCCATCTTAAAATCATTTTTATTCAATCTTTAAAAAATAAACTTCGTTTCCATAAGATGACTGAAAAATATCAATAAAATTAAATTTCTTCTTTTAAATTTACTTTGTTGTTTTAATATTCATTTGTTAAAGTTACACTTTTATTTACTAAAGATATGGAAATAAATTCAGGGAAATATAAATTTTAAAAATACATATAGGGTTTCGAAATTATCAGTAGAATTAAAAAAGTAAAAACGAACTGAATGAGAATTATTTCCGTTCGTTTTTACTTTTTAATTCTGAGAAATTCGAATGGATTCTAATGCAATTATTACGTATTTTTAATTTTAAAATATCTTCGTAAATACAAATCATACGATGATAATTTTTGCAGAAAGGTGGGTTGGGTTATACTGAGTCTGTATATATATATATATATATATATATATATATATATATATATTGTCGTTAATTACTGTAGTTTTTTTTATAGTTTTAGCCGGATACACGCACATAGGCAACTGCCTTTATATATGTATAGATTTCAGCCATCTTTTCTTTAGTTCAATCTGTCCCGTTTCCCCGTTAATTTCCAGAGATGTCAGTTCTCTGGTGGTTACGAGACGCCTTTCGTATTTTGGGTGTGATTTTCGTATTTATTGATGCGTTTTAATGAGTGTGTGTTTAAGTGAGTGGTTAGACGAAGGAGTGTTTTAAATTATTAAAATCCCACATTAATTTCGTCCAGTTGTCTCCCGTTTCTGTCATAATTAAGGATAGTTAGGACTTCATAGAGACTTTGGGGTATTATAGTGATTGTAGTAAGAATAGTATGTAAGGATGTGATGTTTTGGTGTAAGAAATATTGTGTTATATTCGGGTCAGTGATTGTGGCTAGCTAAGTTGAATTATAAGACTGTTGCAGAAACGAAGAATGAGTAACCTGGAAGGTTGAACATGTCGCTGTTGTTGTTTCTATCGGAGGGAGAGGTTAATTTCTTCGTCGCCCCAGTAAATTCGAGGAAAAGGAATTCATCGCATTTTGGGTAAATAAATGTATAATTTATTTATATATATATACAAAGTCAGCATACTACTCGTTGTTGTTGTTGTAAAAGGCGACAGAGTGAGAAAGAAAGAAAGAAAGAAAGAAAGAAAGAAAGAAAGAGAAATAATGTTGGTCATGGCTGTTTTGTGAAGATGGCGGCGGCGAAGGATAAAAGTTGAAAAGTATCGCGTTCAGTCTCAATCTGCCTGCGGCATTTTTGACCAACCTCTCAGCTACGGCGTTGAATCAAGGAATTTATATCCATCGTATCGGCTCCAAATCATAGTCTGTGTCTTTTAGCGGGAGTTATTTCTACTGGTCATTATATAAAGTTTATTTTATCATTTAATACCGAAAACATGCGTCTAGCCATGATGCGCAGAGATACGTTTTCGCATTCTGACTTGGGTCGTCGAGCAATTCAACATCCGTTTTTGTGTAAGAGACACGACAAGACAGAAGAAGACAGCCGCCCCCCCCATTCCCTTTTGGCCTTATCCCACATTTTTGTAGTTTAATGCAAAATAAATATTATTATTATCGCGGGAGGAAAATCTTCTAGTCACGCTGATGTTCTCGCCCGACTTCTTTTAAAACTGGAACAAGCAAAGACATTACGTCAAAAGCCGTCACTACTGAATGCAATAATTTATTAAGCATCAAAGAGAGACTATGCTAGTTTCCCAAAACGAGGATTTATCAATAACCAGCAACATCCACGCGAGAAAACATTTTCATATTGAAAAGAATCCTTTGTTGCGGATTTGAATCAACTCACATCAAAGAAAAGTGTTTTTATATATAAAAAAAAAAAATCTTTTTATTTTCGTGGTTTTACAACTAAATTTTTCTTTGTATGTGTGCAAAAGTTCTTGTGTTAAAGTTACTTGTTTGTAGCTGGTTGTTAAGATGAACAGGAATGGAATCTGAAGAGAGTGTCAGCTACAATGGTTCCATTGCCTGTCATATAACGAATGTCTGAGGTGAATTGTGAAATCTAACCAAATTGACACATCTCGCATAGTGAATATTTGTCTGAGTTACTATGCAAGATATAGGATATAAACTCCAATATTATACGACCAATAAGTGAAGCACAAACGAGTAAGAGACGTCTCGAAATAAATCTTACTAAATTCAATAGATACGAAAAACTTTTTAAAAAAATTCTGTACAAACACGGCTCTATATTAAATAAGTGGTTTTTGGAACCTGATTAGATAGGACAAATCACATGGTGTGATCTCTGTTACATCCGCGCGGTTGAACTCCAAATGACCTGGAAATGGGTCAGGGATGGGAGTATTGTATACATTCCCGCGCAAAACTCAGATAACGATTTGGAGCCGACCCATAGCGATAAAGACGCCTTGTCAGCAATAGTCAGCGACGAGAGTCAGCAACCAGATTTGCAACGATAGAATCAGTGAAGGACAGTCGGCGAAAGACAGTCAGCGAACCAAACCAGTTTAGACACAGGTTACTACGACAATGCGTCAATCAGCGATGATTTCCCTACATACAAAGCTACGACGAAAGTAAGCCCTATACCCCACCTCTTTTTGTTCACTGTGTTTTAAAATTACTGCTATCGCACGCAATCAGTCAGCAGTGACACACGTTTCATTAGTGTGTGCTTCACACACCTATTGGCGTACCATACCATTTATTTTCCTCATTTGTAACAAAAACACTTCGAAACTTTGCAGACTCATTTGCTCCAAATCATTTCGTACAATCGAACTATTAGTCTCTTCTTGATCACAATAAAGAACATTGATTTTTAATATGTAAATACATGTACCTGACTGTACGTTACTGGCATATTTAGCTTAGTCATCTTTCTTTTCTGTGTTGTATTTGTGGACACGGCACTCTGATTGTATTTTTCCTCCTAAAATCCAGGTAGATTGACCCCACAAAGGCATATGTGAGTGGTCTGTGGTCAGTGTATATGGCAAAATGTCGACCTTCTAAGATATGTCGAAAGTATTTTACTGACAGGTAAATTATCAAAGGTTATCTTGAAAGGGTATTGTATTTCTTTTACGTTGTATTCAGCTTAACAGAAAAGAAGGAAATGGGTTTAGCCCCAGTCTTTCTAATTTGATGTACGACAGCCCCAACAGATACTGACAATGCATCTGCGCGTCTGGTTCCTCACTTAAATAACTCAGTTTCGTAAAATTTGTTCGGGAAGTTTTAGAAACATTGAAGGTGTATAGAGTAGGATCTTGTAATATGATTTTTGCAATTTTACTCTCTTTTTTTTAATAAATTGGTAAGAGGGAGTAACATTGTTGAACATTTCTATATAAATTGACGATAATAATTCATCAAGCCAATAAATCGACGTACTTGCCTGAGTGATGCCGGCTGTGGAAAATATATTGCGATGATCTTCTCAGGTGTAGAAGATATGCCCATTTCATCTATTTTATATTCGAGGAGAGTGGGTATTGTTTACTTCAAAGATTCATTTCGCCTCGTTTATTTTAAGCCCAAAGTGTTGTAGTCTTTCGAAGACATGGTGTAAGTGGTCATGATGTTACTGTTCATTTTTAATCGCAATTAAGACATCATCTATGTATGCGAAAGTAAATGGTAAACCACGTCGATTCCATAGCCGGAAAGATTGTGCTGCGTTGCGTAGACCGAATGGCATTCTAAGGAACTCAAAGAAATCAAATCTTGGAGCATGTCCTCGTCTGCCACTAGGAATTCATAACGTCTTTATTAAGCCCACTTTTGTAAAAATCCGTGTCCTTTGTAAGCACTTGGTAAAATCATGGCTGTGTGAGATCGGATACCTATCTGCTATACTGGCTGCATTAAGACAGCGGAAATCTCCGCATGGATGACAGGCAGTGACGTC